AGTGAAATCTGATATGTGCATTAGTACATAGTGAATGTGACCTCAGCACCTCAGATTTACATAGTAATGCAGTCTTTAACAGATAACACTTCCACAGATGTAAAATTACTATTTTTATTCTATAGAGTAGTCATTTTAAATTGAAATATTATTCAGAACTTAAACAGATACACAATATATTTGTCTTTTCTGTGAATAATCAGAGACATGAAAACACATCAAGAAATGTGCATACAATGTATCAATTTTTCAAAGTTATTATCGTTATTATTATTATTTTTTTTTTAGAGAGAATGATTTTTTTGCTATAGGGCACTTGCCAGAGAGACAGAGAGAGACGGAAAGTGAGGAATCATCCCCCAGGAGGATGATCACACCACAATTCCTTTTCCATTCCCCTCCTGAGATTTTAGGCACACATGTTCATGCGCCAGCATGAGTTTTAAGCCACTGGGTTCAGAACTTGAACCATGGTCAACTACGTGAGAGTTCACAGACATAACTATTACGCCATCTGCTGGTCCCTCAAAGTGATTTTTCATGATTTTTTAAAAGACTGATTTAAAAGAAAATAGATCACTCTTGTTAAAATAATGATTTGTATGCATGTCTTAAAAAAAAAATCAAACAAGTTTAATGTTAAACATGTTTAGACAAGCTTCTTTCATGGACCAGTAGCTGGCAAAATGGCTATGTCTCTGGACTCCCATGTAGTTGACCATGGTTCAAGTCCCGGACCTGGTGGCTTAGATTCGCGTGCATGCCGATGATCCCGAGAGGAGAATGGAGGGGAAGGGATTGTGGTGTGGCCGTCCCCCCTGGGGGGTGATTTCTCACGTTCTGTCTCTCTGTCTCTCTCTGTCTTTCTGGCAAATGTACATGCCTTATGGCAAAAACCTTTCCAAAAAAAAAAAAAGAAAAAAGAAAGAAAGAAAAGAAAAGAGAGAGAAGCTTCTTTCACCTAATTCACTATCTGAAACTCAGCCAGGACCCCAAAGCAGGAATAACTTAACAATAAATATGTCCTGAAAGTGTACCATATTGTGTGTATTACTATGAGGCTCCGTAGGATGAACCCCAGAACTAACTTACTCCTGTGTTAGATGAAATTCTACTAAGCTTGTTAATATGGCTTTTCAGTCTTTCCCTCATAACAGTAACAAAGTAGAGATTCATGTGGGTTATTAGAGGCTGTCTCAGTAATGGCAGAAAAAGGAGACAGTCATGTTATGTGAGGGAGGAAAACAAATGTGTGTGTGTGTATTTATGTAAGTATACATATCTACACACACATAAATAGACATGCATTTTGCCCTTTGAATAACACAGGTTTGAATTGTGTATGTGTACTTATACACAGATCTTTTTCAACAAAGGCACTGGAAAAATTTTTGGAGATTGATGACAATTTTAAAAACTCTCAGACAAACCATATAGCCTAGAAATATTTAAAAAAAAAAAGAAAGAAAGAAAGAAAGAAATGAAAAGGTAAGAAATAAAGAAAAGGAAAAAAGTAAGTATGTCAGGGCCAGTAGGTAGCATGGTGGTTAAGGGTGCTAGACTCCCATATGGCTAACTGCAGTTCGAATCCTGGACTTGGCAGCTTGCTTTCTCATTTTCTGTCTCTCTCTCTCTCTCTCTGTCTGTCTTACTCTGTCCCTCTCTGGTCAAATTAAAAAATAAATAAATAAATAAACAAACAACTCATTCTTTTTTTAAAAAGTATGTCATTAATGCATAAAATATATGTAGATACTAGTTTATGTTATCATAAACTACCATAACGTATATACAAACCGATTTTTAAAAAGTTAAAATTCAAAACATTTCACCCACACAATCACTTAAGACTGTATACAGTGGTGTTTGCAATCAAGAGAAACATAAAGAAATATAAAAAAGCAGTATTAAGTCATAGCTACCTGAGTTCGCTGTGGTGCATATTGTAATAATCTCGTGGCCACCTCCTGTTGCTATTGTGATGAGCTCGTGTGTTGCAAATGTCCACATAAAATGCCCTGTGATGATAATAATCTCTGTGCAAGCAGTTCGTCTCTCCAGTAAATTGGGTATTGCAGTAAAAAGCGATCTCATGGTTCCTAAGTATTTTTCATTGCAAAGTTCTCATCAGGTTTAGTGCAAAAACCATAAACCTTGACTAACACTCTGAGACTCATTATCTTTTCATTTTTGATGTCTATAGTTAGTAATATGTATAATATCTACAGGGAATTATATCATATGACAATATTGATGTAGGTACTAACAGAAAAAGAATTCATCTTGTATGCTGATGACATAAACTTATGGTATCAATCAATATACAACAGTGCTATTATAAATGTATTTTCTCTTCTGATTTTTTTTAAAATAATGCTTTCTTCTCTAAGCTTATATTGTAAGGATACAGTATATATACAAAACGTGTGTTATATATAAAACATACAAAACATGTGTCAATTGACTGTTGATGTCATTGATAAAGCTTCCAGTCAATCGCTAAGCTATTAGTACTTAAGTTTTGGGGAGTCAAAAGTTATTTACAGACTCTTATATACAATCCATTGGAAATTGGCTCCCTAATCCCTATAATGTTCAGAGATCCACTGTGTGTGTGCACACACACACACACACACACACACACACACACTCAGAAGCCCTTGTACTCTAGTTATTTTGCCTTGTTCTCTCTTTGCCACATAACTTCCCAGGCACGAATCAAGGTTCTTCACTAAGGGCTAGACATTTAAAATCATTCAATTATGTTCAATGGACTCTCTTTGGAAAGGCAATGGAAAGTGTCTAATACATTTTAAAGTGATTTCTTGGAGAAATGACTTAAGTTTAAATGGTTTTGGAACTGGAGAACTTCGGATGTCAATTAAATAAAAAATTTAGCTAATTTTAATAGCTCGTGTCTTGAAGATATAAAATAATATTTTTTTTAGGTTGCAGCCTTTACAGAGTTACGACGATTCCATGTTCTAACAAAAGGTGAACTCTTTGAATCCCACAGGCAGTTTTGTTTACTAGTATTACTAGATGAAAACTATCTTCCTAGCGTTTTCTCCTTCATACTTGCAAAGGAAGTCTGCGTCTCCAGAGTGAGCAGTGGCAGACTGCAGATGACAGATAAAACCACAAGTGCTCTCACTGTGGGAAGTCTCATAAGGGCCAGTGACCTCGCGACTTTAGGCACTACAAATATTTTGGCACAAATTCAGCCTCACGCGCTGTAATTACAAAGAACATGGCTACTTTCCGGCTCCAGCTACCACTAGTGAAGCCTTGTATGGGTCTGTTTTATGAAGTCCTCATGGCGGTTTGCACTGCCATCTCTCACAGGAGACACTGTGGTAGGAGGTATATTCCTTTGCTGATCCTAAAAGTGACAATAGACTAACAGTAAACTTCACATAACTAGTTTTATTTCTTCAAGGAATGTCTTTTGGCTACTATAGCCAGGGCATTTCAGCAAAAATAAAAATACACTCATGATAAATATTTTTAAGCTATAAAATATGATAGACAACTGTTCTTTAGTTAGGGTCAGAGATATCCCAGGGAGACCATCAAGGGTTTTCCGAGGGCTTGTTTGCTTGCCGACGTCATATGCCACATTGTGTGTATGTGTGTCTTTCCAAGAAAAGACCCAGTGCTTTCATTCTATTTTTATATTGTCTGTGGCATCCCACCCAATTTTTTTTTAAAGATTTAAAGCCAATATTTTTAACTATAATACAAGTCTAAAAAATATACAGCACATATCTTATCAATTTGTTTTTTAAGAAATATTTACTAAATTTCTTTTTTTTTAGTCATTATTTTAAATTTGACAGGAGAGAAACAGAAAGGGGGAGAGAGAGAGAGAGAGAGAGGGAAAGTGAGCAAGCAAGCCTCCAAGTTCAGGGCTTGAACTGTGTCGGCCATGTGGAGCCTAGAACCTCAACCACCACACCGCCCACTGGCCCCCATATCCTATCAATTTATAAGGATGGAGTCCACATATTTTAGCACTTCTCTTTCTCCAACCCATTTACTGGTTAAGTATTGTCTGGATAGCCCAGGACTTAAGTCCAGGTTGGAATAATGGATGAAGTACAGGCAGTGGAAACAGTCTTCTTGGATTCAAGTTGTAACTTGACTACTTATTAGCTAGGTGAGCTCAGTTAGATTAATTAACCTGTTGAGGCCTTGGTTTCCTTATCTGAAAAATGGGAATGATCATACTACTTGCCTTCTAAAGATTGAGGAGTTCGTGAAAGTGCTCTGCATGGTTCTAGAACCTAACTCTTAAGTATTTCATCAGTGTTACCTTCCATGGGCTTTAGTGAATCCCTAATAAAAATCCTTGATTTTGAATATCAACTTTTTTTATAATGCAAATTACCAGCTACTGATCTTTTCTTTACAGTAAAATTACCACATTTGTAACTCCTTGTTGTCAACTCTAATCAATATTTGAATATCACACACCTATTTTGTGACACTATATCTGAATTCACGATTTGGGGGAAGATGTTACATGTGAGTGTTTTCACATTGCAGTATTTTTTTGTTGTTTTGATTTTAACAGTGACTAGCAGCATGAATCTGAGCTGTTGATTAATGCATACTAAATCCCTTAAAACATTACTTCAGTTTTTAGACAGTAATACGAAGTTTAAAAAGTTTTTGAGTCAATATACTTTCTGGATTTTTGTACCAATGGACCTTTTCCCTGCCCTTAAAAAGCTAAGTGGGCCAGCTCTGTGGCCTAGTGGTTTAGGCATCTGGGTCCCACATGGCCAACTGAGGAATCCAACAGGGTGGAGAAGAGATTGTGGTATGACAATGACCTGTGAGGGGATGCTTTTCTTCCTCTTCCTCTCCTTCTCTCCCTTTCTGGTGAGCATCTATGCCCTATAGCAAAATAAAATAAAATAAAATATAAAATAAAAGGATGAGAAGCATAAGCAACTTAACAAATTTGTTTGAAATGTTGCTCTTTTCTTCCACAGCTCTTGTAGTGAGATTTCTGACCAAACGGTTCATCTGGGAATATGATCCCACCCTCGGTAGGTCAAATTTTGTTTCCTCCTTCTTTCCAACCAAAGTATGTGACCCAAGACAAAAAAAATGACATTTTCTGATGCAACATCTTTAAGTTCCTTGCAGCTATTTTAAAAGTGCTTTATGGAATCACGCAAAGAACTCCTCTAAGAGGCTAGCTATGTATCCCATGCTGCCCACGCTTCGAACCCTGATGGATTTATTGTATAGATGAAGAATTGGGGTCACGTCTGAGACAAGGAAGTGGGCACAAGATGATGCTCCCACAGAAAGCAGATCATCATTCTAATGGAAGCCAGAGGAAAAATGCACATGCCAATTTGGTGTGAGGTAGAAGGCATGCTGAAACAAGTGGGATGGTGAAATAAAACTGCTCAATACTGATTTTGAGAAAGTATCAAAATAAACTATGTTTCTCCTGCTCTTCTCTCCAGTGAACCTGACTAAAGCCTGTTTTTTTTTTTAAAAAAAAAAAAAAAGGAAAAGAAAAAATACGAATATCTGTAAGTCTTGATTGTAGCAATAAGGTAGATATTTGAAGTGTGGGTTTTTAAATTTTGTTTTATTTTGTATTTTGTTTTCACTCCACATGTTCCATTTAAGAGGGAACTTTCTTTCCTCCATGTACCTTCATGTATTGATGAATATTTATTAAATGCCACCTCTGTGGCAGATTATTCCGGGTACCAAGGATGAATTGGTTGGCAGAATGAGAAAAATCTTTTTTATTTTGTTTTATTTTCTTGTATTTTTCTAGAGTTTACTAAAGCAAGAAGAGTCAATAAATAAACAAATATATGTCAGATAGTGACGTGTGCTATGAAAGAATACTAGATAGGGAAGGGGATAGAAAACAATCCTATAGTTTATTTATATCATGGCTACCTTTGTATATCTGTAAGATGTACAAGGTGAAAACATGGTATTTTCTTCCATAAAGTTGACCAATTTTTTAAATTATTATTAAATAGCCCCTCCCTTTCCCCCTATTTCCAATACTATCTTTCCTAAGATGACTCATCCACACTAAGACACAGTTCTAGATTTTCTTTTCACAACATCCAACATGACTAGCATACTCTTAGAATAATTATATGCTCTGTAAATCTTTTTGTACTCAGTAGAGAACATTTTCCTTCATTACTTTTTTTTTTTTTCTTTTAAGGAAGAAAGTTACTGCATTTCAATACTTACCACTACTTCCGTTACACAGGACACACTATACCTTACATTTGAATGAGTTGGGCTCTCTCTATCTGCTTAGTAAAAAGTTCAGACAGGATTGAGAGTGGGTGTCAGGAGACCCACTGGTGCTTTGATTCTGGGATTGTTTCTTCTCAGCTGCCTTTCAGCTCCATCTGCTTGGACAGGTTCAGACAAGAGAGAGACACACCCGGTACAAATTCTCTTAACTGGATGCCGAAGCGGAAATGCCTAGCCAACTCATAGAACCATTTTGAGTGTCAGTGCTGCAAGGAATTGGAGATTGCCACTTGATAAGTAAGCAAACAGGTCCAAAGAAATAAATTTATCTAAGATTGCACGGCCAGTCTGTGGGTAGACCACTAACAAAATTTGTCAGTACTCTTTCTACACTAGCATAAATCAACATTACCAACTGCTGTTGCCGTACTGGCCAAGAAGCCAAACTAATGTGTTAAAATTTGCAAAAAAAAAAAAAAGGCTGAGTAAATAAAAGTATTAACCAAGTTTGATATTCCTTTGAGCATTGACTTCTCTTAGAGTATACAAAAATATGATTATGAAAAATAAGCATATGAATATGTTACTGAATACAGGTTTCAAATCAGTATCTTACATACACAGTGAAATTCATGGATGATTTTGATATGCTTAATTCCATTTGAAACTAATATTTGTCTTATAATATATAACATCTTGGTTCATTTGGAAATATTTCCTAAACAACCATATTAACAATCATCCCCCTGCCATTTAAAAAGGCCTCAAATGATCATTTGTGGGTAGTCTGAACAAAATGAAAAATACCTCCACCATTCAAACACATACACATTTTCTTTTGTGTTTTAAAATAGGGTCAGCAGGTGGCATAGTGGTTAAGGCACTGAATTCCCACAGGGTCAACTATGGTTCAACTCCCGAACCCAGCAGCTTGAAACATGCCAAGCATATGTGTAGGTGTGCCTGTGTGTGCATGGATGCCCAAAATCCTGAAAGGAGAATGGAGGACAAGGGATTGCTGCGTGGCCATGCCCCTTGAGGAATGATTTGTCACTTTCTCAATCTCTCTCTGTGTCTCCGGCAAGCACATGCATCCTATAGCAAAAATGTCTCTAAAATTCTTTTTTTTTTTTAATTCCAAGAAGCACTTAGTGCAATTTTTGCAATTATCTCCAGAAAGGCTCACAAATAAATGTGCAGCATTTTGCCTCAGGGGGCAAAATATTTTCACCATCTTACATGTAG